TTGAGTATAACAAATTGGAAATAAAAGACCTTCTAAATCCGTATTTAAATTTAATACTGCATCAATATTAAAGATGACTGATTCTCAATCAAGAATCCCTATTCGAATTCCTAATCTGAAAATGACAGATGAACCGTTTTCACGATGAATGTCGAAATACCCTTGATTGAAATCCCAAAATAGCATTCGATGACAAATTTTGTTGATGATAGTTTGAGCAGAGAGCGATGCCAACTCATAAAACGTAATAATACCTTGGGAATCGCGAAGGCAAAGTAATACAGATGTGCCTCGAATAAAGCCAAATAGGCCCGAAATGGGACTTCCAATTTCGCGTTAGTGAATGGACAGATGATATTTAACTTTAAGTAAATAGATGATTTCTGTGAGATTTAACTATGCATGAAGATACACGTTTGAAATTGAAGGCGGTCGCGTGATCTCAGATTTCAAATTGCGAAACAGTAATTTAATCCTTAAACATTCGGTTTCATTATTAAATATGTAAAAAAAATGAAAGGAAGATGCTTCCTAAATTTGAAATGTTTAATCATCATTTAGGATAAAAATTACTTTAAATAAAATCTATTTAAATAAACTAAAAATTATCCTTAAAGTTTCATAATCATGTTTTTATTACATAAATTTAAGAGAGGAGATGCCTTTTAAGAAACTTCTACGACCACAAGAACATTTTATCCTAAGTCGTATTATTAGTTGTGTAGCAGAAAATACAGGGTGTTCCATATTGCACGAACATAATATATATTTTAGAACCCTCGTCAAAAATAAATTTAATTTAATTATTAAATATTCGATGTTATTGTTTAGCAAATAAAATATTAAAGAAAAAATCTTTTTATATTTATTTGTTGAAGGAAAATTTAGGATAAAAATTGTTTCAAATAAAATGGATTTAAATTTCTTTTAAATATCACAAAGCTTTATTAATAATATCCTTATAATTTAAATTTAGGAGCAAATTTTTTTTCAGAAGCCAATCAAGAAAATTCTACGACCACATCATCATTTTATCATTAGTCATTTCATTTATGCAGTGAAAAATGCAGGGTGTTTCATATTGCTCACCTTTAATATATTTTTCTTTAGAATTCTCATCAAAAATAAAGTAAAGCCTCTTGTGGGTCGAAAATTAATATTTAAACGAAGAATCAAAACAACAGAAATCTAACACCAAAATTGCTGAAAGAAATGGAGACACACTGAAAGACAATTATTAGAAAGACCTCCAAGTTTTACCAGGCAATCAAATTGGTTTTAATGTTTTATGATCACCTTTAATGTATATTTATATAACCTTTGGCAAAACTGAAGTTAAAATCATAAGCCCATTTAAGGTAATGAAATATTAAAGCGAGTAAAGAAGAAAAACGCTTTGGAAACCAAACGAATCTCAACTGAGAATGGCGGGGCTGAAAGCAACAAAACATATTTGATTGCCAGAAAAAACAAAGAAATGTTTGCTTAACAATTAATAGAAACGCCTCTAAATTTCATCGGGCATTAAAACTGATTTTAATATTTTTCGTCCCTTGTTCATCACTAGAGATTTGAAAAATTTTGATGGAGTTTTTGTTTCTTCCTGGCATAAATATTAATTTAATAGTCATAATGTGCATATTTTTAATTTACTTTATTTTCAATGATGATTTCATAACAGGGATTTTATTACAGAACACCCTGCATATTTTGTATCTAGTGCTAAACCGTATAATACTTTAATTTCTAAGAATTGGGAATTAACTTTTCAGCAGTAAATATTGTATTGGCATTTGGTGTTTTTTAATTATTTTAATTATATATCAATTAAATATTGATCTTTGAGCTGTTATAAAATATATCTAATGATGAATGAAATCCGCGATTGCTCAACGTTATAACACGGGCTGTTATTATGAAGAAGTGGGGTTCGATCCCCAGTGGTGGCCTGAAGCTTACTCAGTTTCAGATAGATGAGTACCAGCTTGTCTGGGAAGTAGACGTGACCTGTGTGCAGTGCTGACCTCATTGTTACAATCATGTCGTTTGTCGCGAAATTGTGGAGCGTTATCCTCCATGACCCCCCTGGCCCACAACGGGCTGTTGCGGAAATGCTTCACTAAATGATGCATGAATCAAGACCTATTATTTTTGGACTAACGGTAAGGTGTTTGTGGTTTTCCTCACCATGTAACAAAAATGCGTTTCGAAGTTACTTCTATTGAAAGCAAAGTCTGGTTTCTTTTCTGGGATGGTGAGTTAGCTTGTGTCTTAAGCTGAATTAAAAATAAAAGCTGGATTAAAAATAAAAAGATTATGGAAACACATTTTATTTCTACAAATCCACAATCTATAATCTGCCTGAATAAATTATTTATCAAAGAAGGTAAAAAAAATAACGAAACTTTATCATTAAATTTTTACTATAAATGTTATATTTTAAAATTCAAATAATTTATCAGGTGAAATAATTGTAACAACTGCTGTTAAAAACTTCTTTTTTTTTATTAAAATGAACATTTTTTATTAAAATGAACATTTTTTTTTTAAATTTCAGACTTTTTTTTTAAAGTATTACCAACTGACAAAAATATAAATTTTTAAAACTGTATCAAAATATTGTCCTTAACACATTTCAACAAATCTAAAATCAAATATATAAAAGAAATGTTTTCACAAAGTTTTTATTTTATTTTTACGCATTTATTTATTAACCTTTGTTCAAATCCTCGAAACAAAAGGAAATTAAATTAAATTAATCTAAAATCAAATATATAAGAAAAATGTTTTCGCAATTTTGTTTTCATTTTAATATATTTAAATATTAAACTTTTTACGAATCCTCGCATCGAAAGGAAATTAAATTAAAAAGACAATCAAATGGTTCCTTGATCTGAAAATCACAGAGGAAATTGAAAACTGTATTAATTGCAATAAGCTCTTTTTTATAAAAAAACTTATTGAAGCTATAAGTTCTTTTTTTCTGCCAAATATTTTGCTTTCAATTCAACTTGTAATTCACTTTTTTCCGAATTAAGCTTTTTTCCAATATTTGAATACAAAAATTAAAAATTAAAAATAGCAATTTAATAAACCATGACATTGTGCATTGACAATGCACAAGATTGTTTATTTCTTGCTATTATATCACATCGAATCGCTGTAGTAGTTAACATCAGCCAGTCATTAAAAATCCCAGAGTATGAACCTCTAGTGACCTACTCGCTTGACCAATAAAAATTAAAAATTTTACCGTCTTATTTAAAGCTACGTACTGAAGATTGTGATGATGAAATTTCACAAATTTTGGAATTTTTAAAAGTAACACCTACTTTACCATATCAAGACATTATACTCAAAACATTATACTCAAAACATTATACTCAAAATAACAAACATAAATGGGGTTGCAATGATATTTTTAGCGTGAATAGTGACACTAGACAGAGATGAAAAAACAAGATACAACATACAAATTAACATATAGTGGGCAAAAAAAGACGAACACGTTTAGAATTTTCGATTTAAAGAACAAATATTCACATAGTTTGAGAACCTATACATAGTTTCACGTAGCTATGAATATGAATTTATTTCTGCAGACGTTACTTCAAGTTGTGAAATTAGATACGGAACATACTTTCTTTAAATCTCTCTCACTCTGTCTCTGTATATATATATATATAAATAAATAAATACAAGAAAACACGAAGAAAGTTAAGAGTTCCATTTACTGCGCTTAAGCTGCAAGTAAACAGAACTCATCAGATATGTTCAAAATGAAGAATAAAACAAAGAAAAATAATAGACAAATGAAAAAAAAGGGGGAAATAATAAGTAAAAAAATAACAAGCAACAGTTTTAAAAAAAAAGGTGAAATTTTATTTAAAAAACCGGAGAAAAAAAAGATATAATCTTTTCTTCAGCCCACACGATTATATCCACAAAACAGAGTGCTTTCTGATATTGTATCAATAAAGCCGAAGCAAAATATATTAATACAATAGTGTGAGGAGCACTCAAAATTTTTTTTTAAATAAAAATTACAACAAATAAAATAGAACACAAAAAGTAAAAATAAGTAAAAATAACATGTAAAAACAGAAAATAAAATAAAAGAAAAAGAAAAAAACATTAAAAAGGGGACTATAAAGCGAGTAGCAAAATCAGATCAACTTACATGGGCAGAAAATTTTCCAAGAATGATTTAAAAATGTTTTCGCAGAAAGATTGCCAGATTACAAAATATGAAAGCAAAAGCGCAAATTGAGTGTAACAAGAGGGTTTTAAAGTGTCGTTCTTACTGCACGAATTTTATTTCCTATCATTCTGCATTTTCACCGTATATTGAGTAAAAGTCACCCTTTTTAATGATTTCACCCGTTATTATGATTGGAACTAAAAAACAATATTAATGGCTCAAAAAGTTTTCAATAAACATGATAATTAATTTGTTCTTACAATTAAGTTACGTAGTCCGACACAAAAGTATACTTTGCAAAAAAAAAAATCCATTTCTCCAATAAATTTTTTGATGTTTTGGGAGCAAAAATGTTTAAATTCTGATAAAAACTTTTCCATGCATGCAAAATATACAAAAAGTGAAATTAATATTTAGAGATTCTCATTTTTTCCGTTGTCCAGACTAAACCATTATTATCATTTTCTTCCAGCAACAGGAAAACCCTTATTATCATATTTAAAAAAACCAAACTTGTTAAAAAAAATAATATATTCCTTAAGATAAAGTACATTTGTTGTGTCTGCTTTCTTGTGTCAGATAATAATTAGCACTAATTAGTTACTATACTTACGGTCAACTCTTTACACGACAAATACTAGCACTAAATAGTTGAAATTCCGATCATTGGAAAAAATTCTAGGAGGATTTCTTTTCAAAGCACAAAAATAATCAGTGGCATTTTATTTCAAATTAAAATAACTTGTAAATAAAATTTCTAGTTTTCAGAGAAATTTATTAATTTTTTTTTCAATTTCAGAACGCCATCTACACACAAAATGGCACCATGGGTGAAAAGAGTATTTTTACATCTTCTTCCACGACTATTACTAATGCGACGTCCTGCTTATCCTGACGACAGTCCGAAGGTATTCTCTAAAATATGAGTTTATTTTTTTAAATATGACAAATGAAATATGATAAATGAAATATGATAAATGAAATATGATAAATGAAATATGATAAATGAACTATGATAAATGAAATATGACTTATGATAAATGAAATATACTTATCTCGCCTTAACCTTATCCTATATATACTTAATTATCGGTCCTTAAATAGTGGCAAATATTTATTTACAACTGATTCAAAAAAGATACATGATGCCTAATGTACTGTCATTAAATTTTCTTAATATTCACTAACAGAGTTCAATCCATCGCTAGCAATGTGTAAGTTTTACGTTAACTTTAGCAATGATATCTCAATTGATTCTATTGATATCATAAGCGAAGCGGTCAATACCGGACAATGTCTAGATATTGAGTCATGATGGCGCAGGGGAAAGAGCATTCGTTTTCCAATGAAGTGAACCGGGTTCGAATGCCAGCAACGGCTGGTCGATACAAACTCGCATCCGGCTGGCACCGACCACAGTGCGGACTTAAAATATCCTTAGTAGTAGAGGGATCATGGGTTAGAATTCCCTTGCAATCAGGCTAACCATGGGTGGTTTCCGTGGTTTATCTCTCCATGTAACGCAAATGCGGGTTAGTTCCATCAAAAAGTTCTCCACGAAGGCCAATTTCTGCCAATACATACTTGATCTAGGAGTCTTCTAGATTGGGTTCAAAATTACAAGGCCCCGAAGCTGAACCTTAGTAGTAGTAAACCCAAAATTGGGCCTATTGTTCAACGACTGTTATAAAATAAAAATAAAATGTGTGAATAGTTCTGAAGCAATTGTTACGAACTGTCTTCATCTAACACGTTATTTACAGGAAGACTGAAAAAAGGCAACAAAAAGTAGTCTTCTAACGTCACAGGCCTGAAAAAAGGCTTATCAAATTTATACCATTCCTGAAATTGAAAATCCCATCTTGCAGGGATTGGTGAAAAATAACCACGTGACGCATAGAGCCCGAATTTCAACTTGACTCGACTTCGAAAGCAGGTTAGCAGAATTACAAGGGAAATATCAGATTTTGTTCGTCACGAGCCTGATGTCAGGTCTCGTGTAAATGGGGTGTAAGGTTTCCTCATTTAAGGAATCAAATAAAAAGCATAAAGTTAGAATAGTAGTATGTGCACAGCCCAAACTAATGAATCCACTTCTTTCCCACTGAAAATATGTGCATGCTTGCTTTATTTTGATGTCTTTCGTTAAAGATTCTTACTCACTATCATTACTGTTAAGGCCAGGAAGTTTCTTCACAAATCTCTTTAAGATTTTGATGGCACTGTCTTGCTGTATGTACACAGTCCTCATCCAACACCTTTGTTCTTGTCACGAAAGCATCGTGACGAAATTACATTAGACTGNGTTTGTTTGCTTTGAAAGTTTAATCATTTATTTGTACCACTACCACTCAACTGTGTATTAAATTTCATTCAATTATGACGATTCCTTCATGGTGTTGCAATTTTCACAAACAGGAGTTTATATACGTATTTTTTAAAAAGAATTAAAATAAGGGGTTGTCCATGAAAAAGGAAATTATCGATATTTTTTACAAACTCCACAACTTTGGCATTAACGGGCAAGAATTTTAAGATTTGGTGGAGATCTGCTTCGATTCTTTGCTTTTTACCGCAATACGAGGAATGGTAATTTTCTCTAGTTCAATAATAGCGTTAATTAGCTCCTCTACGTGATCCTTCCCTGTTTCGGACATGTGAACCTGACATTTCACTTAATTAACATCGTAACAGTGTTCAAGAAAGTGAGCAATTAGAACTAATATGCGTAAAATATGGAGCTCTCCATAAATAATAAAATTATCAAAATTTTTCCCAAATCTACATTCGTAAAATTTGGAGCTGTCCATTAATAATAAATTGTCAAGATTTTTCACAAACGAAAAATGTGAAGCTGTCCATAAAAAATGAAACTATCAAGATTTTTCATACATGTATATTTCTAAAAAGAATTAAAAAATGGGATTGTCCATAAATATTGAAATTATCAAGATTTTCGCATTTTTTAAAATACGTATTTCTATATACGTATTTCTTAAAAGACGGGGCTGTAGGGCTTAAAAAGACGGGGCAAAGAGTAGCAACTCATCATATCCCACACGCCCCGCTATATTAAATACACATATTCTTGTAGCTCAGGCACGAAGACCCTGTTTTATTCAAGCCATAATTTTATTTAAAGCAAAATCTTCAAAATGCAAAACAAGAACATCCGAATAAAAGAGCAATTTCGCGTTTTAATAACAAACGTAAGAGATATTAGATATAAAAATAACTAAATATGAAAATGGTTTTAAAAAAATAACGTAAAAGCATTTTTATTTTAACCAAAGTATGTAATTCTATTTCTTGTTTTTCCACTCCGTTCTTGCCATAAGCTGTCACAATTTCAGGAATCCTCTCACCCATTTTCAAGCATGACATTATTTATGGACGGCCACCATTTCATTTTACCTTTGACTGACTTACCGGAATGGGTAATTCGGACCTGTCTGTATTACTATGCGTATACACCGAAGAGCCATAACATTATGACCACCCTCCATCTATAACAATTGGCTCGCCCAGGTTTTATGGTTTCTCGCCCAGGAACAATGTTTTCATGGGGTGCATTAGGACTTATAATCCTCATAGAACAATCCCTGACGTCTGTAAACTACTTGAACATAGTTGCAGACCAGGTTCACCCATTCATGGNCTTCGGTGATCTGCTGGGAACCGTGTCTTAACGATCAGTCCACTGCGGGACAAATTTTTTTAGTAATGAAAAGAAAAGTAAAGCTGAGTAGCTGTCAATTCAGGATTATTAAAAATCGAGGGTTACTCACAATACAATGCGTTACCATTGTTGAGCGAAATTTTCAGTAAATTTGAGAAAATTAAGCAAAAATGCAATATTAAGATCTTTCAGAAACCTATATACGTATTTCGTAAAAAGAAATAAAATATAGGGCTGTACATAAATAATGAAATTATCAAGATTTTTTTAGAAACCTATATGCGTATTTCTTAAAAAGAATTAAAGTATGGGGTTGTCTATAAAAAATAGAAATTCTCAGTAGTTTTAACAAACTCCACAACTTGGCTTTCATGGGCAAGAACTTCAAAATTTGGTCGAGATCTGCTTCGATTCTTATACTGCCTTTGCTTTTTACAGCAATACAAGGAACGGTAGTTTTTCTCTTGCTCAATAATAGTGTTAATAAGCTCTTCTACGTGATCCTTCTCTGTTCCGGCTACGTGAACCTGATATTTATCTTAATTAACATCGTAATAGTGTTCAAGAAAGTGAGAAATTAGTACTAATACACATAAAATATGGAGCTCTCCATAAATAATGAAATTATCAAAATTTCTCCTCAACCTACATTCGTAAAATATGGAGTTGTCCAGAAATAATAAAATTATCGAAATTTTTCGCAAACGAAATATATGGAGCTGTTCATAAATAATGAAATTATCAAGATTTTTCACAACCCTACAAACATATTTCTAAAAAGGAATTAAAATATGGAACTCTCTGTAAATAATGAAATTATCAACATTTTCGCAAACCTTTATGTGTATTTTTTAAAAAGAAATTTCTTGGAAGACAGAGCTGTCCATGAATAATGTCACACTATTTTTCAATTTTAACACACTCCCCTCAATTTTGACACACTTTAAATTTAGAAAACTGAAGTTTTTTCAGCTAAATGTCTCAAGAACAAACTATTCACTCAAAAGAGAGAAACATCGTCAAATTTATGAAATATTTAACATTAAAAAAATGAGCATAAAGATTGAAAAATTAATATTTTCCTCATACGATCGCCAAATAGCTACCAAAATTAATATTTTCCTCATACGATCGCCAAATAGCTACCTTGCTCAGAATTATTCACATCCTTCACCCAAAAATAGCAAAATAGTATCGTCGGATAACACGTGATGAAGGCAGAGGCAAGTGCCAACTCCTGGTGAACGAACTATATCGTTCAATGCATTTCTTGTCTAAGTATGCCAAATACTTAATCCAATTAATACTTAACAGTTTTTTGAAGCAGTGTTAATCATTTGGGTTCACCCTGTTAAACGTTACAAACTTTTTTGGCTACAAATGTCTGCCCTTTCTTTTTGATTGGTGAGGTTTTAGCACGTTTCCATTGTATACTATAGACAGGTTGGCCACTTTCGTCAGCATAAACAACTGGTGAATAATGCAATGAACTTTTTTAAAAAGAAATCAGAATGGGTTAAAATGTTTAGTGTAACATTTATATTTTTTTAAACGAAAGTGAAAATAAAGACTAATACAAAGCACTGAATAAAAGGAAAACAATTAAAAACAAAGAAGCTAGAAAGAAATAAGGAACAAACGTTTAAAAACATTTCAGTAGGCATCAAACCAAGTAATAATGAGAAGTTATTCATCAACTCAATTTTGGATTAAATCCTCTAGTCAACCGCAATTGAGATGATGTGTTCTTAATAGGCAGAAGAGAATTTCATTAAATGCTTGTCGTTTTAAAAATACCAAAAATTTAGAGGCTAAACCTATTTAGTTAATAACAATATATTCTTATTATTTGCACTTGATCTTAAAATTACTGAAACAATTTTAAAACTTTTGATTTTTCACTTGAAAAGCAATGCGTACGAAAAGCACTAGTCATCCCCTCTCCCCCATATCTTTTTGACTACAGGTTTCCGCCTGTAAGAAGATCTTAAACCCACCACCTGAAATGGGAATGGTTACCAAATATTTTCTCTACCATTATTTGAAATGGGGAAGTTTCCCTTTACCATCTGAAATAACGCCAGAACAGTATTAAACCCAAATTCATTGAGGTGAAATATTGCCGTAATGGATCCAAAATTTTCAAAAAACAACTCAACTTTTTTATCAATTTTCCGATTTTTATATTATTAAAGTAACTGAAATTATTATTAAATGCTTCAACTAAGA